AAATTTAGTAGACTCAAAATCGAGGTGGTTTGAAGATTTACTTTACAGAATATAGCACTATTACGGTAGCTACTTGCCACCTGCTAATTTTCCCCACTGATTTTTCTACCTGGAGAGTTATTCCCGGCCCAGGATATCCCCCCCCCCCACCATTTTTTCGATGCATTGTTCCTCCTAGTTTTCCTATTGATTTTTTTCCATCAGGTTATTTTCATTATACTTTATAAGAGAGGACATATATATTTTTTTATTTTATTTTGTGTTTTCTCTATATCAATTAATTATTGTCTAGTCATTGTAAGGTTACACTAAAAAGGTGTGCCGATGATACAAAAGCGTTATTCAATCAATTGACTGATTGACTATTGATGCATTCTCAATTCCGTATTGATGAAGCCTAAATACACATTGTAGAAACGTTTTGAAAGTTTAAATCCAGTTTTACATAAGAAATACAGGAAAGAAAACAGGATATCTTTATAACATGTTTCCTCTTTTGGAATTTCGATATCACACCTTTTTCCTAGTCGTTCTATATACCCATATTTCATCCACAAAAAAACACTCTATTATTTCTGTACTTTACAGTACTTCGGAGGTCAATGCCCATTAGTGATTTTCTTCTACGATACGCCTACTACTGAAAGGTCCACTGATTAATCTCAGATAAGGAAGTATAATACATACTCCAAGTATTGAAATACACGCCATCGTGTTGGGATTCAATATTTCAACATTAATTATGTCATCAGACACCTACTTTTATTTCAAATTGTGTGTTACGGTTGATGGTAGCAAATACGCCTATATCATTAAATATATTTAATTAACGTTATTTAATTTGTTTATCAGAAAATTAGGTTAATTTATGTTTTATAAAGTATGCGTATTATATATATTTATATAGGCTTAGACCAACTAGCATTCAATTAAATACATTAGAAACACTGTTTTGGCTCGACGTCGTAATAATTATGTACGAAAGTGTATTCTTCAGGCCTATCAGTTCATCGATCTATGGAAGAAAGAATCCAACTACTCAATAATGTTGGAATATAGAATACATGCCAAGTTGGAGATAGCTAGAGGCTTGAGAATTAACAGGAAATAACCTAATTGACATGAGTCGAGGGCCCGTCCAAGGGCCCCGAAAAATTTTGGGCTTAGATGCCTCTGGGTACTCTGAATATCTCTAGTGCTGAAATTAAACCTTAAAAATGAGTAGCTATAACAGGAACGATAGAATTTTCGATGATCTGGGCCTGATAAAATATAGAATTGCGAAGGTTTATATTATTCGATAAAAAGTTTGGGTTTAATCAAACAAAGCTTGAGATTTAGTGGAAAAGCGTAAGATTTTAGAGGAGTGGCTTGAGCTTGAGGTTTGTTCGAAAAACGTGAGGTTCACGCCGGATGCGCGAGACTTGGTATGATATAGATCTAATAATATATTGACTATATTTTTGATTTATTTTCTTTGGTATAGGCCTAAGAATGAGATAAAATCAGCTGACCTTTTTTAAGAGGGGTAAAACCTTGAATTTTGAAGAAATTAAAGGTCATTAAAAGACACCTCAGAAGTCGGGAAAGCTTATATTTCCGGCCATCTAGGAATCGAAATTTTCCAGGGGAGGACCCCGGACCCCCTTTCATTTTTGGGTTTATGGGAAAATGAACCCCCCTATTTCAAATACTGGATCCGCCCTGGCCTTATACCCTGATCATTTATTGTCATTAAACCTAAACAACATAATACATATTTACAGCGATATAGACCAATATTATAAAGTCACATTTGATGATGTTGCAGGCGTTTATCATCCGAATATCTGAATTTAGTAGGCCTTTAATGTATACATTATTTTAATCGATTTCAACATGCTGTGTATAATATTTAATAATAGGCCTACTATGATGGATAACCATGTATTTTATTCTTTATTTACTGACATGTTTAAAGTCGGAGGCGGACTTTAAGGTGGGTAGTTATGCAGCTGTCCGGGGCTCATATATATTTTTTTAAATTAAAAGAAAATATTTTGTCAAAAGCGATTGTATTATTAGATTGCTCGGTAGTAGTAAGTTGGGGCCCATCACCTTTCAGGGACTCATTTGGACACGGAGGAAGTAAGCGTTTCCCTAGAAAACACAGGCATTACATAACTGGTCAAACCTCCATAGTGGTGCATCCAGGGGCATAGTTTAAAGAACCCCTTCTAATAAATCTGCCAAATATTGTGTTTGTGGGATTTTTGTCTATTTGGTTTTTTCGGAAATTATAGAAAATGTTACGTATTGTTAAAGCGTTGCATAAGAGTGCTGAGTATCAGTGTTACTGTAAGTAAAAGTATCTAACCCTCTCCAGGGCCCATTTGGACTCGGACATCGCCCAGAAAGCACATGCATTACTTAAGGCTTGGTAGTAATGTTTTAGGTAGTAGTGCCCCCCCCCCCCCGCCATCCGAGAGCTCACAAGTTACGCAAATGGGTCCTGTTTATTTAATATGATATGCCATAACTGGACTTTATGGGACAATACATGAAACACTACACCGTTTCTGATATATAAACTGCAATACATTATTCAGCATTGGAAGAGCTTTCCAATGATACCAAACACGACTACTTTTTGGTGAGTTTATATACTTAATCTTATTTTATACACATTTTAAGTATATTTTGCAGATATTTTAAAACAAATAAACACTTATTTTTAAATTATGTTCCATTCTGGCATGAGTGACAGTAGTTTGTATATGTCTAGTTTGTTGCCTGTATAGAAATTATGATTTTAGACACCAACATCATATCTGTAGCTTATTTAGTTCCAATTATATGCACATTTTAGATAAATTTGGCGGCCATTTTTCAAAATGAGGGTATGCTGCAGTTTCACCCATTGTACACAGCTGGCATTACTGTATGCATATCAGGCACACGGTGGAGGTGTGTACTCAATGGAGTAACTGCTCTAGTTACTATCATTATTACGGCTATTTAAGTTTTACAAGTCCAAGCAGAAGGAAGCAACACTATCTAGTAGTAAGTAAGAATGTAATATAGTAAGAATGGAATATAGTCAATTCAGTGGTTTAACTCACCATATACAGGTATACTATTCTTCTCCTTCATTATCTTATACAATTCCATCCTCGCTAGGTAGGGTGCTCTGCACTGATCTTCCAGCGACCCTTCTAGAACCTTATCAATGAATACCTTCACTTGTTCAGGTGTGCAGTCAACTTCCCATTCGAATTTGTTTTCACTCGAGGGAGAAAAAGGCATATATTTAAAAGAATTAGCTTACAAACATTGACGGGATAATATATATGTGGATGCACTTAATTAACAATGCTTGAACTGCAAATGTAAAATTTTTTAGGCTTACATAATTTCACTCATTAAAATTCCTTATATATTTTAGGTCAAATGCTTAGACATACACTTAAAATGTGCTATAAAAGTTAAACATTATTATTGTTTATCATTAAACTGGCTGAGGCAGTACCATACAATCATTTGCATATTAGTAAATAAATCATGTGACTATATTATATCTTAAGAAAGTTCTCTGTTATATATGTGGAGATTGCAAATGTTATGACCACTATTATTCAATGTTCATCTTCTTTTACCTGTTCGCCTCCGGTGTCCATTTACTCTCATAGAGTTTAAATGCCGAGTGGAAATATTGCTGATAAAAAAGCCAATTATTTGGGCTAAAATGTTAAAAAAAAAAAAAAAAAAAAACATAAAAATAAAAAAAAAAAAAAAAAACAATCAATGAAAACTGAATACATATTGAAGAAATACTTGACTAATAATATTGTTTGTTTACCATAAAAAGGAAAAATCAGAGATTACCCAGCATGGCACTCTGTTTAGGCATACTTAACTCATTTCCATTCAAGTATTTAAAAGCAACATTAACATTTTCTTATCAGGCAAATTCTGAAACCTGGTTTAATCATCTTCCCATTGTTTTTGAAACCTCATTGGGACATAAGCCATAATAGCTGTGCAGTGGCGTATCCAGAAGTCTTGAAAAGGGGGCCTGAAGAAGCCCCATGGTCAAGTGGGGGAGAGAGTCCGTCTAGCCTAGCCCGGCCCTGGCCTAGCCTCTCTGGGTAAGGCTAGGCCTAGCCCAGCCGGGTAGGGCTGGGCTTAGGCTAGCATAGTTGGGCCAGGCCAAGCCTAGCCCATCCCAGCCCAGCCTGACTTGGCCTGGCCTAGCCTCAGATCAATCTCACAAAATAAGGTGATTTTTATCTACTTAAGCATGATATTTTCTTTGTACATTTTCAATGGGGGAAAGTTTTTTTTAGAGGATCGTGCGTCCCCAGGGCCCTCTCCTAAAAACGACACTGGACCTGGGTAAGTGCAGACACTGACAATCAACTGTTGCTTACTTGTCTTTTATTAAATCCTTGTACGCACTGTTAGCCTCTGCCCACTTCTCCATCTTCCTGTACAAATCAGCTATTCTCTCTGGGATCAAGTTTTTGTCTGTTGTAATGTATTCTACAAAAAAAAAATATATTTAATCATTTGTTGACCATTGGTAATACTTAAATGAGAATGTCAATCATTTAAAATATGTAATGATCTATCATTAATATTTATTTATATGCATGACATTTTAATTTGACTTATAGACCTAATCTTGTAATATACTTAATAGAGAAGGAAAAGTTAAAATGTTGTTACTAGAACCAACAGGTAAGTTACACTTACTTTTTCCAAGGTCGCCTTTCAACACCTCCATTGCTTTCTCGTACATACCAAGCGCCTCTAGGATCATGATGTAGATGCTAACCTCTGCCTCATTATCGATCTTATTTTCATTGATCATCTTCTCTACCATTCGCAGACACAATGGATAATACATGCTGGTAGCTAGCTTAGGATCAGGTGCTGAGTATGCCTGAAATAAAGAACAGAATGAAAATGTACTAAACTAGTTACCAATGAAAATACTAGTAAAACAGCTGTCTAAAGTTTTTGTGCGCACATGCATAATATGTATGCAATCGGTACCATTTACATTGATGAGGATAAAACACATAAATAAAAGAATCCTATTCTTTTAAATTTGTCTATTGTGTAAGTTTGATGTTGTTTTGCTTAAATAATATTTTTGTATATTTTACTTGTAATATTAAACAATGTGGTTCTGATGTAAATTTTAATCTTTATATCAAATCCTTAATTCAGTTGTTGGCTGCTATGGATCTTTGTATTTTGTATATTTTATATGTTCAAAAATTGAATAAAGATTCCAAGCTTTATTTACAGTATACCACATAAACTCTTAAGCAGAAATCTATGCTGCTATTTGTAAATTGCCTCTAATAATATATATTGTACGTTATACTCTATGTTTTAATTTGAAATTTAAAATATGTAATAACAAGATAAAATACAATTATTTTGTAGTATAAGAGTTTTAAGTGTTGTGTTGTGTGTATTCATTTCATCTTGCTCCTAGAGCACCATCTTATAATATTGTTAAATATATATAAAAAAAAGTATAATAATAGTGGTGGTAAATATTTAATACTGTTTACCTGCATGAAAATACTCATTACTCCCCAAAAGTAGTATGGATTCTTCTGAGCAACTTTATATAATGATATAGCGGTCTGTAATATAAAATATTACAACATATAAATAATTTTTTCTTTATGTTTCCAAAAAGATGGTGAGGATTGTATCCAAATGAATATCAATAAAAAATCATAAAAAACAGATATAATTTACTGACAACCACATACAATTTGATTATTATAAGTGGGCACATTTCTAAAGTTATTGTTTATTTCAGACATGATAATATCAATATCACAATAAGGGCACAACAATTAAATTATCCTTTATATTCAGACATAATAAAAACAATACAAGAAGACAGTGAACTTAATAAATTATTAGGCACTCCAGTTATCCTTAATTTCCGACATAGTACATCAATACCAAAAGAGGGCGCTCTATTTTTTGTGAGCCCTACCTGTTGCTGTTTCTTGTAGTCACCAGTCCTGACGTATGCCATAAACAGATGACTGTACATCTCTTCATTGGGACATGCTTTGGCAGCACACTCGTACATCCTCACAATCAACTCGGCTGTAAACCAAACCAACATAATTAAGGTATCAACCAATGTAATTCTAGTTATACAAAATGCATGCCAAATCTACGGAAGCACCTAAGTGCCATTCGACTTGACGACTTGTCAAGATAATTTATGTTGTCAAGTCGACATAATATACATATCATGTCGACATGGCGAGATAGATTATCTTGACAAGTCATCATAGTAAAAATTGTATGCTGTCATGGCGAGATACTGTAGATTATACTGACAAGTCGACATAATACATATTGTATGTTGTCATGGCGAGATAGATTATCTTGACAAGTCGACATAATATAAGTTGTATGTTGTCATGGCAAGATAGGTTATCTTGACAAGTCGTCATAATAAAAATTGTATGTTGTCATGGCGAGATAGATTATCTTGACAAGTCGACATAGTAAAAATTGTATGTTATCATGGCGAAATAGATTATCTTGACAAGTCAACATAGTAAAAATTGTATGTTGTCATGGCGAGATAGATTATCTTGACAAGTCAACATAGTAAAAGTTGTATGTTGTCATGGCGAGATAGATTATCTTGACAAGTCGACATACTAAAAATTGTATGTTGTCATGGCGAGATAGATTATCTTGATAAGTCAACATAATAAAAGTTGTATGTTGTCATGGTGAGATAAATTATCTTGACAAGTCGACATAGTAAAAATGTTATGTTGTCTTGGCGAGATAGGTTATCTCGACAAGTCGACATAATAAAAGTTATGTTGCTGTGTTATGCTGCGGTAGCGAAAATGTTGGCCTATGGGCCTAATTAATACATCAACTGTGATAATTTTATAACTACGTGTATGGATTGTTTTCAACTTTCACAGGGATTTATTCAGCGAGGCGCTGCTCCCTCCTCCCCCCACCCCTTTGTACACAGTTTTAATACAAATTGTTTTCTTAAATTGATCAACAAAACTTAAACTTATTGAAGTTAACAGTTTGGGTCAAATGTCTGTGTAAAAAAAATATATAAGGCAAAAATAAAATTACAGTATTAATATAACAATATTTGGTTTTATTTCAAAATTATTATTTACTAAATGCAGTATCAATAAACACAATACTTTGCTATGTTAGTACTGTTTGCACTAGTATGTTAATGACATCTTGATATTTTCCACAACGGCAATGTGGGCCAGGATGACAAGATTGAGTGCAATGGAAATTTAAAGTGATGGATGGGTAGTTAGTAAACTAATCTTAAGGATACCATTAGGCATGTTACTGTCAGTAAAACAAAATGTTGAAAAGCTTTTCCTGAAGATGTCTACACACACATACATACACACACACGCAAAAAAATGAATACAATAGTTCCTATTGCATTACATGCATAGGAACTAAAAATTACATAATGCTAAAATGCTAAAACTATTGTTAAAATCTCTATATATACAGTAATTATTAATGCCAACAATTCAATAATAACATTAAATTCACCGAATAATTGACCTTTCAGGGCATGGAATACGTGTGTGTCTATCACCACAAACACACATGTAACGTTTGCGTATGTTCTGAAACTGTCGTTTTGCGGGACCTTACAACAATATGCAAGAAGCGGGGCTTAGCAGAAAAATTCTACTCACGCTTCTGCATTTCTCTGAAGCATATTGTGAGTGCCTGCAATGTGGAGTCATCCTTCGGTTCAGCATTTAACACATCTTCTGCCAGAAGAAAAGCATCGCTACTTTTACCTGTTCTTTGTAGGGCCAACGCCTTTAGCACCTGAAATTTAAAAAAAAACAAAAAAAAACATATATTTTTAAGTAATATACAAAATACAGGTTTTAAAATAATTCATAGGATAGAAAATTGAAAGTTTTGGAAAAAGAAATAGCCAGAAATGCATTTAGTATGTTTTTTAATATTTATAATGTAAAAAATATTAAAAATGCATAAATATTAAAACATAAGAGTATGAGAGAATGTAAAATTGATTACACTACAACTTATAATGTATTAGGCCCTGCAGTGTATAGCAGTTATGAAATTAATCTCAGTAAATTACCTTAGCACAAAGTAAATCCTTTTGTTTCTTTAAAACCTTGTCTGCTGCTTGGATTGCTGCTTTGTTATTGCCATTGTCTAAGTTATCTGCAATGTTAATAAGATGTCTAATATACTGTATGTCCTACTGTCGAATGTATAGGGTCGACCTTAGCAAGGCTATCACTAAAATTATTTGTACTAATAATACTAACCTAGGCTCATCATAAAAATTATATTCAAAATATAAAATTTTATTTTTATTTACACCACCAAGGATTTTTATTTGGATAGCCTAAATATTTATATAATTTTTGTATAATTCTATATAAAAAAAGAAAATAGGAATGGAATTATTCCTCCACTTGTATCAAGACAAGATGTTGTACTGCTGTGCTGGCCAAAATACTGAATTTTCAATTAATGTTTGGAAATGTAAATTAGTAAAATTCAAGATCCAATATTTATACCAAATACATTACAGCATTTTCTTAATTAGTGAAGGTGCACTATTACTCTTAAATTTAAAGCTTGATCAAACTCGCTTGATTTAGAAGGTCGCAAAGAAACCTGGTCAAATTTAAACACAGGCCTAATTATGTAAATGTGGTTGTACACAGAAGCTGTAGATCACTTTGTATTTGAATGCTGTAAATTTAATATTTTTATTAGAGATGTAATTTTCCTGGAACTTAAAAATGAACTTAATGAATACAACCCTGATATATAATACGAGCACAATACAATTTGATGTTCTGGAATTTTAAATGATTACTGTAATTTGCGATATGCAAAAAAGTGGCAAAACATTGCAATACTGTAATTTGGTTTTGTTTTATGGTATGTTGTTTTTTTTTTTTGTTTTTTTTTTGTTTTAAAGTTGTTTTTGAAATTTCTTTTTGCTTTCCTATGTTTATATTATATGGTTGCACCATCAGGGTGATTGCATGGGTGCCGGAACCCATTAAATCGCATCCCTAATCTCAATGATAGGCAAATTCATGTTACTAACGAATATTAATATTACACTTTTTCAATTTAACTAGGTCTAGGCCTAGGGCCTCGTCAAGCCATATGATAATATTATTGTAGGTTAAATATTGTCCAAATAATGTCCTGTACGGAACGAAATCGGATTGAGTCAGATCATAGAGAAAGAAAACAGATCTAGCCTAGGCTATTCTGGCCAACGATAGCCCAAGCGACTCCGTCGCTCAGCAGAGGAGAGCGAGCTCCTAGAGCTAAACCTGTCTCTGGCTACACCTGCCTGCTCTGTTCATTTCAAGTAAAACAGGCCTAGCCTTCACTTAAATGTAATCTAATATTCAAATCATAAAAACATGAAATTTTTATTCATTTGATTTATATGATAAAATCTAACAAAATGTTGTTGATTAACTGGATCTACCTACCGTAGATTGGTCGTAAACGGCGTTCGTTCACCGAATCCACATGTGAGCTGCGCGCCGCCATGTTTTCGACTAACTTCCTCTCCCCCCCCCCCCC